AGACGCCGCGCGCGAAGGAATGTGGCAGAATGCAGCAGCAAGTGAGAAATACAGGAATGAAAGAACTAACAGTAGCAACATGCCACAAGTAGTAATCGCGATTGAGCTGTATGAAGAAGGCTAAAACTGTTATAACGAGGCAAATGGTCCGCGACAGCCGCGTGCGGCGGATCGATTGCACATAACCGTTCCTACTGTCCGTCTCCCAACTTTGAGAGAGTGGGTAACTGTACGAATCTCTAAAACATCTTTACAACTACATTTTACTCATGCCTGTTTCAACGAATCGAGGTTGTAGATCTACTCCACTCACGATAGTTAACCTTGAAACGAAGTCGGCCTCCCAGAGATAGGGAGCAAGTGGAAGAGTCCTGGATCGGTCATTCCGGATTGGGTCGTCGTGCGCGGCAGTTTCGTACGAGTTGCCGCGCGGAAAGTGTTCGGCGGTCTCCACACTCTTTACCCGTCCCACCAGTGCTGGCTCAGTCCCTAATTTGCTCTCTATGCAATCGTTTTCCTCTGCAACCTGACTGGATACTTCGAGAGAATCACATCTTATGGGGCAATTTTGTATTTCCGTTTTAGCTTTTTCTGTAAATAGATTAATAAGCGGATAAATCCAAGGCGCAATTCGAATGGAGAATAACAAGTTAATACCGTAATCCAAGCGGTGGCAAGCATTCCAGGAAAGAAAACTGGTTTGTATAATACGGGAACTTTTCTTAATCAAGTCAATTCATTCCAAGAGGTTTTCTCAGTGCATCTTCCTTGATAGCAGGTAAGCTAGTCAAAAGTTCCCAGAAGTCTCGTATTTCAAGGTCTGAGCCAGCTATCATCATCCCGAGCCCGGCGAATGGCCCCTTAGCCGGTTGCGGCAAGTCCTACGTTTTGTGGTGGTAGCACCAGTTTCGATTAGCTGTATCAGGTTCGCTCTGCTGTCAGCTGATGCTTCAGGCTTATTTGGTGACCACGTAAACAATTTTTCCAATAGCTAGCCGAAATAGTCGATGCCCAACGAGAAGGCCTTTATTTCTTTCGTATTTTACAGTTATAATATTGATTTTACTTGTTCAGAATGCCAAGGGGTAAACTCTGAGCTGCGGTGCTCCCCTCAACTTCTTCTAGTAAATGCTTGGCTTAGAGACATACTTAGTAGTTTCGAATAACGAGAAAGAATCAAATCTCTGGCCCTGATAAATCGTGTTTCGAAATGCGCCACGCCCTCACATTTCATTCAGAATTCTAATGGCATTTCGAGCGTTTATGTGGCTTAAACAATAACTTGCGAGCCCCCGCGATACAAATCTCAAATGCTTTCAGTAACTCATGGGTTAAATTACTTTTTTCTGGAAAGTTTTCGTTCGATCATTCGTTCTGGCCTTCCTTTATCCGTTTTTAACCGTTGTAGGGTCGTTGGATCTGGCTAATTTATCGCTCATAGTTCCTTTTCCTTCTGCCGTTACTTTGAGTTCCTTTTTTTCGTCGTTTAAGTGCAATAGCTAATTAAATATAATGATAATCTCTGTTTTTCCAATTTTATGATAACTCTGTAGTCTGTATCCTGCACTATACATGCCATATAAAAGTGGTATGAATTCTTTCCTCCATTTAAGGACGCCTTCATTCTCGATGCCGGCCAGGCTGGGATATTCGTGTGGATCGGTAAGGAGTGTACCCTTGAAGAACGAGCAAAAGCGTGGACCATTGGAGAGAATTTTGTCAAAGAACACGTGAGTCTGTGGTATTTTCTGGAAGTGTCCAGCACGAAGCAGTTCTCCTTTTCAGGGTCTACCCGAGTGGACCACGGTGACACGAGTACTGGAAACTGCCGAGCCAACATCGTTCACACAATGGTACTGGTTCTTCTCTGAAATTCCCTCTTAATTGACAGCAGGGCATCCACAGACTTTGAAGCTACAAGACTGAAACTGAGATTTTTTTCTTCAGGTTTGACGAATGGGTGGATAGCAAGTCCCATAAGGCCTTCCAACCACGTCTTTATCAGGTGTCCGATAAGTCCGGAGGGATTGTCGTCGAAGAAATCGCCAATTTTACTCAAGAGGTAAGAAATGAGCAAGAACTAGACAGACTGGCATAACTTTGAATTCACTAGAGAAGTCTGACGACTAAGAAGTAAATTAATTCGGTTACTTCCAGAATCTCGATGGCGATGATGTCATGATATTGGATGCTCTGAATCGTATTTATGTATGGGTTGGAGAGAATGCTAGCCAAAGTGAGAAGCAGAATGCTGTCTATACTGCCGAGGTAGATTTCTGTTGTGGTTCTTTACGTCAGTTACTATCCTTTTTCTGCATAACACGTTTAACACTACCATTTACACTGAAATGTTAGTTCAAAGAAGGGTGCGATTTGAAAGGTCTGTCAAATGATTTCTCTTGAGCGAAAGCTAGACAATCCCCGGTAGATCGGAATAGCAGGAAGGGTATACCCAAATCTCCAGCTTTGGGCTGCAAGAAGGGGTGTGGTGCAGTAGGAAAGAAACTGTCGCGTCGCGGCGAGAGAGTCGTGAAGTAATGTAGCAGAACGGTGCAGCAAGTAGGAAATTCAGAAACAAAAGAATCAATAGTAAATCTATGCCAAAAGTAATAAGCGATTGAGCTGTCTGAAGAACGCGCGAACTGTTATAACGAGGCAAATGGTCCGCGACAGCCGCGTGCGGCGGAATGATTACATAAAACCGTTCCTACTGCCCGCCTCCCTGCAAGAAGGACCATAACGGCTAGTTGAAGAGTACCGCAAGTCCGGTGAACGATGCAGTCCAGTAACTCTCAACTGGTAGTTGTTTCTCGTATTACCTGATCATACAGTTGGCTAGACTTTGTGAGTTCCAAGTTAGCGGAATCGTCGAACCTACTGGCCGTTTTTGCTGAAAAAATTTGTGAGCTTTTTAAAGTTGAATTGCTAGATAATCTTCGATTTTTTGAAAAGTGAATGGTAGCTTTAGCGGCGTATTTCATAATGTTATATAAAGAATGGAAATTTCGGAGCTGATCATTTTCGTTTTGGGATGCGCCCCGCCTTTGGTTTCCATTTAGAGTCGTAGTGGCGTTTGAATGCGTATGTAGCCTATACAACGTATTGTCTTGGTCGGCCGATAGACAAGTCAATGTTTTTCTTCTCCCAGACGAGTATGCTAGTAGTATACCAATTAACCGACCCCGAAGGAATGGAACTTTCGTTTGGTCAGGGAGCGCATCGGTCTGGGATTCAATCCTCTGCTCATGCATGTGCAGTAGTGCTCTCTTTGCCACTTCACCACCTCCTCTCCAANCAACATGAATATATAGTAAGTTCATTTCAGAAGTATTTGAAAATGGGTCATATACCTCGTCATGAGAAAACAACAATCGAAACAATATATCAGGGAAAAGAAACTCCCGACTTCAAGAAATTATTCCCGAAATGGAGCGAAGCAATGTTTAGAATTGTAAGTGGCTGGTGCTTTTTATATTTATGGCACAATATTGAAGGAGAGGTACCCTTAAACATGCATACGATTTTTTTCAGGGTGAACGCTCTGTGGAAAATATGAGAAAATTGCTGTTCGAATGATGTTTGCGATTGAGTTGCTTCTGATTTGCAGGAAATCTGTATAGATTTGATTTGTTACATGTTATTTAATTTTCTGTTAAGAACAATATTTCGTGTTCTAAACAATTCTTGTACTAATGCCTCTCTCTTTGCTTCTGCATTCGTACTCCCTTTTTTCAGGCCTTACTTGTATCAGTTGTAACAACCGCTAGGTATAAAGTTATCATCATAACCTGTTTCAAGTAGGCTTCGAAGTAAACGCATATCTTACCGTTTTTTGGCAGTTCCTTTTCCACACTCACGGTTTTTCTTCTGCATGTAGAGGAAGCCGAGAAAAGCTGCATTAGGGTTTTTTCTCCTCCGACAGACACTACGGCTAAGATTTGCCGCGCGATGAGACAACTAGCAAAGGACCGCCGCGCGGCGAAACATCGAGCTGGTAGTCGCCGCGGGTTGTGGCCATATCAGGAGTCGTATAGTACACTTGGGTATTTTTTCTTGAAAGCAAATTCCGAGATGTTCAAGAAGGATTCTAAGGGGGAAGCAATTAGATCTACACCCTTGGCACACCCATCAAATGTCATGAGTCCGCATCCGTAAGGGTTATGATTCCACTGGATGTGCGATACTGTTATCCCAAATGATCAGGAAGGATGAAATCCGAACATCTCCACTGGCTGTGCTTGAGGGGACTTCTCCGATGTGACATGGGTCTTACACTTTTGGTGTGCTAAGCACTGCTGGGCTTTATCTTTCGGTATTGGGCGGATCATTAGATTTTGGAGGTGGGGGGCGTGGCTAGAAGTGCAGCTCACATGTCGTGTCTAGGACATTCGAACATGTTTCTAGTCAGATTGATTAATTAGCATAAATCATATCCACAATTGCAAATAAAAAAAGTTTTTTTCCTGATTCATCTAAACGGCCAGGAATGAGATAGATAGCCACCCTGGTTCATGGGGTGGTGCAGTAGGAACGAAACTGTCGCGTCGCGGCGAGAGA